AGGGTGCGTTCCACTAAACGTCCGCAACGCTCGCGGCGCCCGCAAACCAGTTCCACATAACGACCGCGATCGTCGCGGTCGCGATCAAAACGTCATAGATGACGTCGTTAATCGCGACCGCATCGAGCTCACGACGCTCATGGTCTTTAGGTGGGTCGGCGTGGTCGTTTGTCGTTTCCGCGCCATTTTTGAAATTCTCCTTAAGGCCTTTCAGGTTATTTATTGGCACTGACGGTTTTGTTTTTGATGTTTGGAAAAGAGACAATTGGTGTCTCAAACAACAGGAAGGTTAAAGTTACGGTTAACGCTTTTTTACGTGCAAAGGCCTTTAATATTAGTGAGATGTAAGATGGCCACGGAGAAAGTATCATTTTATGATCCTGTCAAAAACTCAATGATTGAGGTACAATTATCACCAGAAGATGCTATTCGAGTTTATAAAGGTAAGTAATTTATGTAATTCCATATTGATTATAAACAAAGAACTTGTACAAATATCATTGTTTGTAAGGTTAACCTTCTCATTAGAATTTTCTCGGTTGTAATCCGTTTAACACTACAAATACTTTTGTATTTTTCTCCTTTTTAATAAAAAAAAGAAGAGATAAAACGTTTTAATAAAAAAAAAAGAAGAGGTAAAACACTTTAAAGCCTTTGTAGTATCTTAATATTAAATAGTGTTATGCTTTTTTCTAATATTAAATAGTTATGTTTTTTTCTAATTTTTTAGACGTGATGTTTGCAACGTCAGTGATGAATGCTGCTCTTCATGAGCAATCATCCCAAGTAATAGCAGACAATTCATTATCAGCTGTAGAACCAGAACAGCAAGAGTGTAGTACAGAAGAAAGTGTCACCAATCTTGATTCTGATGATACAGGTATATCAAAATTCTATAAATCAGTCACAGCTTCAATCCTTTAAGGGCCTTGTCACCAAGCTTCGATTAACTAATCGGCCTAGTAACTTTGCAGGTTTCTGACTGAAGCTGATGTCGGAGCTGAGCTCACATTAATTCTCCGACATCAGCTTCAGTTGGAAACCTGCAAAGTTACTAGGCCGATTTAAGTTAATCGAAACTGATGACAATGGCCCTAAGCCCAAGATACAATGCTTAAGGCGACTGTTACCAACGCCGATTAACTTAATCGACGATTAGTCCATTGGAATTGACCAATCGCATTTATCATTTAATTTTGACGACAGACGCAATTGGTCAATTCCAATGGACTAATCGTCGATTAAGTTAATCGGCGTTTAATCGGCGTTGGTAACAGTCTCCCTTAAAACAATTAATAACATATTATATTGCATATTTCTAGGATCTCTCTATAGGTGGACAACATCTTGTGTATTACTCTTGCTTCAAACCTACAAGGAAAACGAGGAAAAATTCACCAATGGGAAACAATCCCAAAAGAAAACATGGGAGGAGATTTCCAAAATATTAAAATGTAAAGGACATAATATAACTGGGCTAATGTGTGCTGCCAAATTGAGAAGTTTGAAGAAAACTTACAAATCAATCAAGGACCACAATAATAAGTCAGGCAATGATAGGAAGTCTTGGCAATTTTTTGAGGTATGGAAACAAGGAAATAGGAGATTTGCAAGTTCCAACATCTTCTTAATTGTTCTAATATACATTATATCTTTTTTTAAAGATCATGGATGAAATTTTTTCCAAAAAAGCATGGTGTGTCCCTGTGGCCATTGCATCTTCATCAGGCCTATCTAAAACGCATGAAAAAGAGAATAATATTAAATCTGATAGTGAATGTACAGTTGGTAAGTTTATCATTTTGTAATGTCTGTGAATTTTCTTGAATTAATTAATTCAGTTTATTTTCTCATCACTTTGTATATACATGATTGTAAATTTATATGATTAGATTCATGAAAACTCGTTTTAACTTTTTTTTTAGAGCCATCAAGATCCAAACAGAATATGTCCACACTGCTTGCTAAAAGATTAAGACAAAAAGAAGAACATGAAGAAGCAAAAAAAAAACGACACAAAGACAGGATGGAAATGGATGAAAAATTTCTGTCAGTTCTCGAAAAGTTAGCCAATAAATAATTTAGCATTTATTATTCATTGCATCACTGTGATAAATGTGCCAATGACAGAGAGTAATAATGATTCGTTTATTTTTATTTTAAACGTATTTTAATTTTGTTTACTTTTTTAAATACTGCTTGCAATCTAAAGTTAAATAATAAGGTAACCATTTTCAGTTTGTTATAAGATTAATAAACGTGCCACTTAAGTATTTTATTTACTAATATAAATTTAAGTTATACTTCTAAAAATTATTTGTGAACATTTACTGTCAGGCCTATTTATATATAAAGTTGTATTTTAGTTTTGATTGCAATGAGTTTCAGGACTGATGTGAGTGGAATAAAAATATAAGATATTATTTTATAAAATACTCTGTTATAAATATTTCAAATTATACGATAACATTACATTTGTTAATATTAGGTACAATTTTTTTATTAACATTTTATATTATTTGAATATTTATTGTATACTACAATATTTGTATACTATAGTAATATATTACTTTGCTATCAGTGCCAGAATTTATAAATAAAAACATCAGTACTTTTTCTGATAAACATATTTTTATTGTATTATCATTGATATCATTACCAATACAATGCCCATAGGTTATCTACGAATCAAACTATCCATAATCAAATTTCTTTTGTAAACCGCAATATTTTGTCTTGGTTGATGCAAAACGTTGTCATCTGTCACGTTTTCTTCTGAAAGTGAAGGTAATATAACAATATCTATTTCATCTCCTCGTAATGTGCAAATGTTGTGAATTACACAACATGCTACAATATATTCTGCCATCAAGTCGACTCTCGACATTGGTAAACAGTGCAATAAGCTTCGCATACGTCCTTTTAATAAACCAATGCACCTCTCCACTGATACTCTTGCTGCTGAATGTCTGTAATTGTAATTGTTCTGTCTCTCATTAAGATGACCATTGTCTCGAAAAGGGGTGAGCAGATGTTGATGCAGCTCATATGCAGCATCACCCAAAATGTGGCTGTCTGTAGGAAACTTCTCATCGTCGTTTAAAAAGTCTGCCACTTCCGATTGCCGAAAAACTCTTTGGTCGTGGACAGAACCAGGATAACCAGAGTAGCAGTGTGTGATTAAAGTTCTATGATCACAAATCAACTGCAAATAGATGTACATATATTAACTGCGTTCGGCAATATAAATCTGTGGCGTCGAAGTGCTCTTATATTATAGCATATGTCACATGCACTATAGAAATTGAAAAATTGTTGAAAATAATAAAACTCGTAATAACGCGTATAAATGTGTGTTTTTTTTCTAACATTACGTTATATTACTGAATAGTACGAGTTATGTAAATAAAAATGAACTATTAGTAACAAATCCCAAATTTGTATCACAATGTTAAATAATTAATTTAATAATGTTTAATAATTAATTTATTACACGTTAAATAATTAATTTATGATACAAAAGTTTATATGTACAAGTTTATATATAATTAGATTAATTATTCTTTCAAGATGGCCCCAATAACTCTTGGAAATCCACTAGCTTCTTCAAATCCTTTCATCACAGTGATAGCACGATTACCACTAGGCCATTGAATAAATCTTGCCGACCTTTTAAACACAGCATGAGTGACTCTTCGTACAGCCCTCAGAGCAGTTGCTCTGCCTACATCAAATCGATCACAAATCGATCTGTAACAAAATAGTACTAAATTAATCAAAATTAATCAGATATTGCAGATTTCAACATAAATTTATTATGAACATAGAATTCATAAATGAATTTTATTTAATACAATCAAACCCTGAATTTGTGCATCATTACCTATATGAATCCATCGTAGCCATCTTCCAAAGGGCAATCATTAACTGTTGGCGTGCAGGTATTGTAGGACAGCCTTTTACTTTCCTAATTAAATCCTGATGAATAATTTGAAGGAGGTATTGAAATGTAACTTTTGACATTCTGCAAATAATAGGATCAAATTTGTATCAATAATTCACATTTTTAAATAATCTAAACAAATTTAATGCATCTCTTAAATAATCACTGACCTGAAATGGCTTTTAAAATCATAATCCGTATAACGGTCAACAACGTCAATATAATTTATAATGCGCACACGTTTCTGAATTCTTTTTTTCCTCAAATCTACTTCCCAATCTTCATCGGAACTCGATGAGCTCTCAGATATATAATTTCTTCGGCGCAATATGCCAATCACATGGGCGTCCATTATCATTCACACAATGTTCTTCTTCTTTTTTTCTAATATAAATGGCCCGGTCCTCGTTGATGAGGTAAAACTTACTAGGCACAATCGAAGACGGCAACGCTTTTCAAAAAAGATTATACAACACTTGGTTAAGTCCGCCTCAAGCGATCTCTCAAGACTTACACACAATCCGTTCCACTAAAGATTTCGCCAGCAGCGCCCACAAGCTAGTGGAACGGTAAATACTGCGATCATGGTCGTGGTCGTTGCGGACTTTAAGTGGAACGCACCCTTAGAGACCCTCTAACAGAGACTAGCCATCAGGGGGCCACTTTTGATTGGTCCGCCATTTCCTAGCGATTCCCGCTCGTATTGAAATTTCAATTACTGCATTTACTTGGAATGTAAATAGTATGTAATGATAAATATTATAGAAATATTAAAACCGTGCTTTTTATATTAATATAAATAATATACGTCAAATAAAAAAAAACATGTCAAGTTTTATCGTCAGTTATATACATCTTTATCTTTAAATAACTTTGTTATAATAGCTGTTTTTTGACATTTATGATTTAATTTTTGACTTTGTTATTAAATTTTAAACATTGACTCTTATATTGTCTTCGTTCTTTTTGTTTATACGTTAAATAATTTCTATATTTAATATTTTCTCTTTCTTAATTCTATTAAATCTTTTTCAAATAAAATTAAAGTAAGGTTAGGAAATCAGTGACAAAAGTACAAACACTTAACATTTGTAAAATTTATTTAAAAAAGGTGTGTACTGCCAATGATTTACTGTCATATCTTCTATTAATATTAGTATTTTTCTTACTTAATGTTCTTAATTTGAATACGACAAACTTTCTAATAATTTTAGGAAACAATTGATAATTTAAAACATATTTAGCCGTAACCTGACTAAAGACAGATATTAAATAATTTTTCCAGAATTGTGCAGTGCAATCTCTCATTTTTATTGTTATTATTTTGTACTGAGCAAAAACCACGAACACAACCTTGAATCAACTCAAATCAACTTGAATAAACGGTCACATACAAACGCACATATTCGTGTGAGTGAAAGAGTGAAATGGCCTATATTTCTCTCTCACTTGTAGGATTTCGCTAGGAAATACCGGACTCGCCTGATGGCCAGTCTCTGTTAGAGGGTCTCTACTGTGACTCCGTGTTGATGGGTAGCGATACCGAATTAGTCGGTGGCTAGCAAAACTGGTAGTACGCTACTGGTTATACACACAAATGCAAGTTCATGTCCGTGTGCTCATTTTCGGGTAGAAGGAGAGCGCACACACATGGGTTCATGCTTGTGTGTGTGTATAGCGCCTCGCCATGGTAA